ATCTGAGAGAACCAACTTAAAAGCAAATGACTCACCAATAGGGATGCCCCGGTAGCTTTGTTCCATAGTGAAGTGTGCTCGCTCAAGGTCTTCCTCTGCTTCTCTGTGATGTGTGATCTGTATTTCCGTCAAATACTTAGAAGCCTTCAGCTAGTGACCTGCCCCTCTCTCTATCCTACAGGCAGAATCCTCATGACAGTTTTGACAAGCCCGCCCACTTAATTTGAGAGTCAAAGATGAAGCACGATTCTGATGCTTCATGCTCCTTTTTTCTTGGCTTGTCACATATTCTGCTGTTCAAACCTGATAGTTTTCCATTTCCTAAAGAGGAGCAGTAAGTAGATTTGATTGTTGTCCACTGAAGACGGTAAACTTTATGCATTAAAATTACTTTGTTTACTGGTCACACATATCTTTGAAACATTTTTGGTCGAGGCCAACCCAAAGTCCATGCTACGGATTAGGCTCTGTGCAAATGTCCAACATGTACCACACATGTCTCATAGCAGCCCTAGGGACTCAGTTTATAAACAGGAACATAGAACTGGTGAATTCAGAGCTAGAAGGTCGGGTTTCTGTCATCCCCTGACCAGTGGTCAGGCTGCTTAGAGCTGTGTGGCTGTGCTGGAGGGCCAGATACAGCCCTGTGCGTGGCCCCATGGGCCCTTTGCAGGCAGTGCCCATCTGCCCAGCTTGTCTAGTCTAGAACCTGCCTGGGCTTGCCCTCCTGGACCTTCATGTGGTAGGCAAGGTCTTAATGTAGTCTGGCTATTAGTTCCCATGAGCTAGTAATGCTAACTTCTCTGGGAAATTACCCTGGAGTAGGACCAGAATCTAGAAGCTAATCATCAATTTTGCTCTAAGACAGTTATGTCAGAGGCTTCTGTGTTCAACTAATGGGTTTTCCTCACTTCCTCATTAATGCAGTGAACAGTGAATAGGTGCATAGGCTGCTCCAAATACCAAGAGGGAGATAGTTGAAGCACCTCTCCTGAAAGAACACTTCAGGGGCCTCAGCAGTTAAAGAACCCTTCTTGTTCTTGCAAAAGACCGAGATTTGCCTTTACAGGGCATTGTTAGAATGACCTGAGATTTGTCAAGCTTTGCTATATTCTTCTCAGAAGTCATTTGTTTTCCTCAGTGAGAACAGAGTCCTATCTCAACCCTTTGTGATTGTGCATGAACATCTATAGGAACATGCATGGGTGGATGTAGGGAGATTGAATGTGTGTATTTGGGAATGAGTGGTACTTTTGTCATAGCACTGCAAAGAAAAGTTCTGTGTAAAACAAAAGATTTTCAACTAAATTCAAGGAACTGGTTCATTTGGGACCACTTTACAAAAAAAGAAAAAGAAAAGCCTTTTACTGTTTATATCTGTAGTATAATTGTCACAAGGTCCTTAAGTTTCTTTGAATCAAAGATCTAAACTTCTCAAGAATGAGTACCCAGTTGTGTTTGCCGTGCATTCCTCTGGAATACTTGAATATCTAAAATAGAATTGAGAAAAGAATGTAAAGGAAGTTGTAGGCACTTTTGCTGCAGTCTTACTCTAGAAGTCACTTTGTGCTAACCTTTTCTAGAAACCTGGCATTCTCAAGCCAGAGCTATCGGGGATATCAGTTTTAGGACCCAAGATTTTTCACATTTCCTACTGTTTGTGGGAGGAGAGGTTAGCACAGGGCACTTGTGAGGGGCAGAGCTGTGGGTGGCAAATTCATGGTTGAATATCCCTGAGGGAATAGCCACTATTAACAAGTAAGCCAGGAATGGCTGGTTTATTGGCACTTGCTGCTGGTCACGAGGGTGGTCCTAAAGGTTTGTGTATTGTGATTAGACCATAGGAACTAAGTCTTCAGAACCAACATCTTAGACGTGTTGTTGTTAGTTTCTCTGTTACAAAAAGGAAGTCAGTTTCATTGGTAGATGTGTCCTATGCCACATGGTTATGACAGCAGCCTGTGTGGTGACTGAACCCTTGAAGGGTAGATAGTGCAAATTTGGATCTGAAATCCTAGTTTATTTGATTTTGATTAGTGTAAGTTTGGACAGTGCAATCTGAACTGAAGACTCCCAGTCCCCTGCTGGAGCCTGGGATTCAGTGAAATAAGTGACAAAATGGAGAGAGACCTCCAAGAAAGACCATAAGCAGGACAGCACCGGCTGCTAGGCATTCCTCAAGTGGAGCTTCCATTCTCGGTAGCCTAGAGAGCTATAATAAAATGAAAAGCAAGTTACAATATTTAGACTTGTGGCAAATAAATGCTAGAGGCCCCACCGGAAGTACCCAGGTGACTCCTTACCCAAAGAGATATGAGCTTCTGATCACTTTGGGGATAGGGCCCTTAACCTCTGCCTTGTTTCTGAACCTCTTTATTCCTTTTTTTCTTCAGATTTTTTTTAATGTGTGTAGGTATTTTTCCTGCATGCATGTATGTGTACCGTGTGCATACAGTGCCTGTGGAAGCCAGAAAAGAGTGTCAGATCCCATGGAACTGAAGTTACATATAGTTGTAAACCACCATGTGGCTATGGGATCCAAACCTGAATCCTCTGGAAGAGCAGCAAGTGCTCTTAACAGCCAAACCATCTCTCCAACTTCAAAGATTTATTTGTTATTTAGATACATCTGTGTGTGTATGTGTATATGAGTGCTCGTGCCAAAAGAGGCCAAAAGAAGGCAGGGTGTTGGATTTCCTGGAGCTTTAGTTACAGCTAACCCAACATGAATGCTGAAAACTGAACATGGGTCCTTTGGAACAATAGGAAACACTCCTAATCATTGAGCCATTTTTATTCTTTAGTAAATTGGAGTATTGATTACATGCACCTTTGATAGCATTTGGGATGGGAAAGTCCCTTACACTGAGGCTCATAATGCAGACATTTGTTAAGCTTCTACTTTGCAATGAGATTCCTAGGAACACTGGGATCATCACCTTAGAGCCATGTTTCTCAACCCATGGGTTGCAACCCCTTTGGGGATCACATGTCAGATATCCTGCATATCGGATACTTACACTAAAGTTTGTAACAGTAGCAAATTACAGTTATAAAGTAGCAATGAAATAATCCTACAGTTGGGGTCACCACAACATGAGGAACTGTATTAAATGGTTGCATCATTAGGAACATTGAGAACCACTGCCTTAGAGGGAAGAGCATTATCAATGGACTGGTGGGCATGTCACTTTAAGAAGTCAGAGAAGCTAATGGAAGACCCTAATGCTGGATGGAGCGAGGTCTCTTGAGAACACTGACTTTGGGACTTCTCTTCTGAGAAAACTGCCTCAATGGGAAAGAAAGGGCATGGCTATAGAAGGAGATAGGGTGCCCTCTAGTGGTCCTGCTTATGCTTCCTGCCTTTCTCAAATTTGCTTTATCCCTTGATGCATTTACATGACTACCTAGGAGAGACCAAATTCCCCCAAAATGATGCAAGACTTTTGAAATCTTGTGAAACTGTAGTAAATGTGTCTGGTGTTCAGGCAGAAAGGAGCCTTTAGTGAGAGGAAAGTTTGAGACATACTGACCATACCCATGGGATATTTCAAGAGAGTCCTCCAGAACTCTTGGGACTAGTTACAACATCTGGGGAAGAGGTCATCCTGGGCAGGAGACCTTTCTAAGCCCTTCATGTGGGAGACAACTATTTTCTTTCTTGGGCCTATGTGTCTTCTTGGGCATAACTGTCAGCTGAAGTTGGTTGGATTGTGAGACCCCTAAGAGCTACTAGCCAGGCTGGGCATAGAGTCCTGGATAGGAACACACTGAGCTGCAGTCAAATTATCTTAATTCTGGCACAAATCCTGCTTTGGAGAAACAACTGGACTTAAGGAACTTTTTATCTGCCTGTGTGTTTTGAGGTTCAATAATTTTGCAGGTGTTCATAATGTTCCATGGTCAGAAAATGCAAGAACACGCCAAAGAAGACACTAACAACCAAAGAAACTTCCATCCAAATCTAGCTTGATGAATCAGTGAATTTAATTAGTGTTACTTACAGGTGTATGGGTAAAGTGGGGAACTGCCTCACCAAAAAGCACACCCTAGAATAGGTGAGAACTCATAATAGCTTCATTTCTGAAGTTTTATGTACAGCCTTCAGTTAGCTGCAGGAAGAGAGCCTCCTCTTTCCAGCAATTAATTGCTGTTTTTAGGAGTGGGGGTGGAGGAGTAGGGAGATGGGACTTGTGAACCTTGTACCTTTCTCCCTCCTTCTTTCTATCCTTCCTTTTTTCTTCCTTTGAGATGGGGTTTATCCATGTAGCTAGCCCAGGATGTCCTGGAGTACTCTGTAGAGTAGACTGGCCTGGAACTTCTAGAGATCCACTTGCCTTGGGCTCCCCAAGTGCTGAAGGCATGTACCACCATACCAGGCAAACTGAGTTCTATAACTTTTATGCATGTCTGTCTTTAGCTTACTGAGTCTTAAGAGCGCCCTCCTCCATCCGAAAGGGAATGTTTTAATAAAGAAAAAACAGCTAGACAACTGCCTAATTGACTTTGTAAGAGAGAAATGTATGTAACCCTTGCTCCCTGTGTATCGGTTATCCACAGAGCACACTTTGGAGACTGGGACAGCCCCAGTTCCAAAGCAGCTCCTTCTGTGCTCCTGGTTGTACATTAGGAAGGAAAGAAAAGGTAGGTATGCCCTCTGCCCCCTTTGTATATGGCTCTGTCCCATCTCTGCCTAGACCTATTCTTGTGCCGACTGAGCTGCGTCAGGGTATCTGATTCTGGAACCAACTTTGCAGAACCAACAGGGCCAGTACTAAGGAGAAAAGAGGCATTGGTGCTGGTATCATGCCTGCCTCCCCTAAGCATAGAGAGTGACTCATTGGTGTTTATACTCACTCACACTCCTTCCAGGCACTCCTGCAGCACTGTTGTCTTCCCTTTACTGTCCCTACTGAAGTCCTTACGTGACTTCATTAGACCTCAGGCTATATAACTTTGTGCTGATAGCTAACGACCTGTTCTCCTATATGATGTTTCAGGGACACTACATCAAACTCACTAACCCCTGAAGATACTGAAGATATGCCAGTGGGGCAGGATGCTGAAATCTGCTTGCTGAAGTCTGGAGAGCTGATGTAAGTGTCAAGCTAATGAGTGGGCCTCTTGTGCCAGTGGAGAAGAGTCCCAGGAGAATGGAGTATGGAGGGACACTGGTCCTATCACAACAGGAGCTGGCCCCACCCAGTGCTCTGTTTTACCACCAGTGGAACAATGCAAATCTTTGAGGGCAGCAGGGCCTTTCTCAGACTAGATGTATGTGATTCAAAGACTCAGATGCCACTTGGTCATAACCAAAAGACAGACATCCAGCCAAATGGGTAATGATTAAAGACAAAGACACATGTAGGAGTAAGTAAAGCAAAAGCAGGCTTTATTAAGAAAAGTTAACAAAAAGTAAGAAAATGTAAAAGAAAGTGGGAAGAGTTCTAAGAAAGGAAAAAAACATCGAGCTGTTTTCTGAGGACAGGACTTGTATCAGGAAACTAAACAAGACTGAGGTTGTTTCAATTGGCATGGACTAGTTCCCTGAGCATATCACAGGCCAAGCCAATTGAAGAATCCCAAACTCTGTATATTCTCCTCACCCAACTGAGGAGATGATCGTGTGCTCTTCAGTCACGTGCTGCTCACACAGGGGAGTAATCACAACCTTTCCTGTTCATCTCTGAGTAGCTTTGTTAGCTGTTGGTCTTGGCTGTCTTTTTGGCTGCTAGTTCGTTAGTTGTTGATTTTACAGGTGTTGCTGACCTCAGAACTTGGTGGAGTCTGTTGGTAGTTTGTTAAACTCTTCTCTTTGTTCAATTTGTAGGGATTGTTTCATTTTGTTGTTTTAGGCAGTGCTTAGAATTGAACTCAGAGTTTCATGCATAATAGGTACTTTACCACTGATCTACATCCCAATCCCACCTGCTTGTGGTGTACTTGTTTGTGGAGAGGTAGCATTAACTCCTGTCACACCTATTAACATCTGGCTGTAGTTTTTCTGTTGCCTCATATCCAACTCCTGATTTACAGGGTGGCCTGGGGTGATCTCCTTTCTGAACTAAGTAGAAGAATTATGTTAGGAATTATTCTTACCTACAATTTAGTCTTTTTGCAGTTAGCTGGATTAGAAGCAATTACATGTGAAAGGCCAACAGTGTCTTGTGTTACGTCTCTCAGTAGGGCCCTTATAGACATGGGAACCAGCTAGAGACTTACATATGTCCCCAGTAGGGCTGTGTAGAGTAGGAACCAATTAGTGCCTTGAGTATATCCTCCAGCAGGCCCTGGTGGAAGTGGGAACCAGCCAAAGCATACAGACACTGACTCTTTTCCCCAGAGCCCTGTCCTTCCCCTTATGTGATCGGGTTGGCTGTCTCATACCCAGCTACAAGCCTTCCCCACTCCCATGTGTTTCAGGCCTCTCTCTTTGAACCCTGATGTCTATTTTAACTGCATTAGGAACTTCAGTTTGTACTTTCTATCTTTAAAGCATAATTTATATCCTTTAAAACTCGTTGTTTAGCTGGGCAGTGGTGGTACGCACCTTTAATTCTAGTATTTGGGAGACAGGGGCAGGCAAATCTCTGTGAGTTTGAGGCCAGCCTGGTCTACAGAGCTAGTTCTAGGATAGCCATGGCTACAAAGAGAAACCCTGTCTTGAAAACCAGAAAAAAAGAAGCTGAGGAAGGCCTTGCTTCATGGTAAGGAACTAAGCCAAGGTATTCAGCTCCATTTGAAGGCCCTGTTGCCATAATCCTGGGTTAAGCTTGCTGCCTTTGAGTGACTGAGGAAAGAAATCTACTCAGCTGGTCGGCGACTGGGATTAGTGGCAGCAAGGCTTCCTGCCAGTCAGCCTCATCCTCTGATGTCATCTCATGCAGTATTTGTGGCTCAACCTCAGACTGTCACAGCTCTGTCCCCCTGCAAAGTGCATCCAAGGATGTTTGGCTATAGGAAGAGGTCAGAGGCCTCCCCTCAGCTCCATAATCTTCAGTATTACCACAATGGTCTTGTGGAGAAAGCATGGTCATTTCAATTCTACAGATTTGGAAAACAAAACAAGACAGTTATGAAATCTGAGACAGGTTCTCTCAGGTTTGACTTTTCAACCCCTCCACCCCTTCTCACACAAATCTGCAGAGAGACTGTGGGAGGTGTGTCTAATGGGGTGAGAGGAGGCGGCAGAACATAAAGGCTGGACCAGCCTCACAGATGTGCACTCAAATCCTATTCATGAGAGACTCAGAGCAGGTCAGTTGTCCCCATAGTTTCCATGGACTTTCAGATCCATGTTGGCAAGGACTCCTTGTATCTTTCACAGCTCTGACTCGCTGGTAAGAACTATGCCAGCTGTGTGGTAAGCCCTCAAACCAAAGCTTTTGTCTGAGCTGAACATCTTATAAACATGTCAATCAGGGGTACCCATGCTTAACCTACAAAGAGTCTCAAATATCCAGTTACCTCAAGCCTCAAACAATCCACTGAACCAGGTTTCTCTTTGCATTTTCATTTTAGGATCAAATTACCCCTCACAGTGGAGGAGATCATCAGCTTTGGGGAGGGTAACAGGGAGCTGTTTGTGAGGTCCAGTACCTACAGCCTGATTCCTATCACCGTAGCTGAGCCTGGCCTTACTATCAGCTGGGTCTTCTCTTCTGACCCCAAGAGCATCTCCTTCAGTGTGGTCTTCCAAGAGACAGAAGACACGCCACTCGACCAGTGCAAGGTAGGCCAGGTTCCCTACCAGCATCCTTAACACACTCTCCAGGTGCCTGAGCAGACCTTCCCCAGAGTGGGCAAAGCATCTAAGACTTGATTGCCTTGGGGAAACAAGACCTAGAAGTCAAGTTCAGGAGAACTATCTTCATATGGCTAAAGGTTATTTCTGTGTCTCATGTGTTCCATTTGACCTTGGGATAAATCTGCAGGTAAATCTCAGAGACATGCAAAAGAAGATAGGGTTCTCACAGAACTCTGCAGAGCAGAGTGGGATACCTTGGGAGTTATGGGCTCCATCTCCAGTTATTCAGTTTGAATGTCCCAAATGCTACCTACAAGGACAACAGCAAAGACAGCCCCAGTATGGCATGGGCAGTTGAGCTTTATAAAATCCAGGCTATTCTAGGTGTAAAATGTTGGCAATGAAGAACTGCAGTTCTCAACCATGTGGCTATACACTAGAAACCCAGGGAGAGACGTTAAACCCAAATCCTTAGGCCAAATCCCAGTCCACTAAATCAGGGTATCAGGAATACTGTGCAGGCAACCCTCAGCAACTCCAGTGAGCAGCCCAAATTGAGTAGTTCAGAGCCACAAAAGGGCTGGGTAGAAGCTCGCAGGGTGCTAATTCAGTGTGGGGTGAGAAAGAGGGATTCCCGTGCCCAGCAGCTGAATTCCCATGTTTGTAAGGCAGAGAGGAGTAATGAAGGGTAGGGATGCAAATTGTATTTGAATTATGAGAGAAAAGAATGGGACAAAAAACTCTCAGACACAGAAGGTTGCAACAAAAAGTGAATTTTAGGCAGTTAATTGTCCTAGGTAGTTAGCTGGCAGAGGCCTTTTTGCTTTACCTTACTAGAAATCAATTATGGGTAGGCAAATGGCTCTTTGGTGTTTATTTTCAGCAAATTTCTCAGTATTTGGCACCAGCAATTGAAATCCTCTGCTGCCAGAGTTCTCCTGCAAGCCTCAGGTGCTAGGCCCTTAGCTACATAAACATCTCTGAGCTGTGGACTTCGCCCTTGCTCTTTGGTCTACCCATCAATCCTCATGACAGATGGAGCTTAGGGACCTGGTTCAGCCATCCTTGTCTCAGACTTACAAGGTGCCCTTCCTGTGTTTAATGACCACCACTGTCTTTTCCCACAGTGAACACAGTGGGGCAGAAAAAACCCATGTCTAGAATATTTAGCTGTTCCTCTACCCTTCCAGGCCCAGGTCACCAGTCAGCGATGAAGAATGCTTTTTTTCTCTGTCTATGGTCCCCTGAAAAGTCAAGAACTTAGGTCCAACATCTTTAGTACTTATCCAGGGGACTTCTCATATGCTCTTGACCAGCTCTTGACCAGCCTAGGCCTTTCAGAAAACAGATGGCCATATCTCATAACAACACATGAGAACCTTGCTGGATCCTTGAACAATTAAAAGCTGAGCTCTTGCTGTATCCCACATTCTGTAGAGTCTACTGGGGACTGAGAGATAGAGGATGGCACCCAAATCTGTTCTTGAAGCATTCTGAATGAGAGAGAGTTCTGAGAAATAAAGACCTAAGGACAGCACTAGGACCTACATGAGGCAACTGGCCAAATGGACATTTAGAATGTTCCTAAAAACATAGTACAGCTTCCCCAAGTGATGGAACAGATTGGCTCTAGTATGGTCAGTGATGCTGAGCACTTTTTCATAATTCTGGAAGAAATGCATACGCACCATCTGCCCACAGTGAGTGGGATAGTTGACACCCCACCCTTTCTGGGACTGAGTTTTAGTCCTAGCCTTCACAGCTATGACTTCATTCAGCTTGCCTAGATGACTCACAGACCTTCAGCTTCTGTGACACTTTATTGCTCTCCCTGCCAGGTCCTCATTCCCACCACCCGATGCAATTCCCACAAGGAGAGTATCCGGGGCCAGCTGAAGGTCCGAACCCCTGGCATCTACTTGCTTATCTTTGACAACACCTTTTCCAGGTAGGTACCTAGGTTAGTCATGGCATCTCCTGGGTCCACCTGTCTCTGTGCATCATTGCTCCTGTTCTCTAGCACCGAGGCAGACACTCAGAATCAAGACTTAGTTGTCAAAAGTTTTTTGCTAGTGATTCTATAATTTAGACTCCTCTGCTGCTTTCACCGCTCATGGTAGGTTTTATAAAGCAGATCTGTCAGTTGCTTTCCTGTTGCTGGGATAGAACACCATGATTAGAGGCAACTAAAGGAAGAAGGAGTTTAATTGACTTTTAGTTTCAGAGAGTCCATAATGGCAGCAGGCAGCCAGGACAGGAAGTTGACAGGGCACATCTTTATTCACATGCAGGAAACAAAGAGGGCAAACTGGAAGTAGGGGAGGCTACAAATTCTCACAGCTCACCCCCAGTGGCATACTTCTGTCAGCAAAGCTTTACCTCCTGAGAGTGCTACAACCTCCCTACACAGCATCACCAACCAGAGACCAAGTGATCACATAGGTGAGCCTGCGGGGGGACATGAGTTATCAAAGCTGCAGTGGTGGACCAACACTTACCGGATCTTACCGTATACTAACCACTCAAGTCTGCCATACAACTTCCTTTTTTTCCTACAGGGCTAAGAACTGGTGAGTAGAATAGTGACACTCCAGGTCATATGACTAATGGGGAGCCGGACCTGAACCAGGCACGCCACTCTAAGCTAGACTCACCCCAGCTGTGCTCACCTCTCTGCCAGGCCATAAAAGGACCTTGAGAAATCTGGAGGAAAGGTCAAGAGTTCATAAGTGAAAAAGAAAGAAATGACACAAAGAAGGACAAAATCTCTAGGCCATATGTAGTTGAGATTTTTGTTTTGTTTTGTTTTTTGTTTTTATCCCTTGGGGCCCCACCATCCAGCACCCAAATAAATACATGGAGACTTATTCCTATGTATGAATGCCAACCTTAGCTTGACTTGTTTGTAGCCAGCTTTTCTACCTTAAAATTATCCCATTTCTCTTTTACTACGTTCTGCCTCTGGGCTTTTTACCTTTCTTTATTCTATATAACTTTCTTTCCTTTTAACTCTGTGGCTGACTGTGTGACTGGGTGGCTGGCACTTGGTGTCATTTTCTCCTCCTTTTCTTGCTCCTCCCTCTTGCCTATTCTCCTTCTATTTGTTCTGTCTGCCAGCCAGATCTGCCGATTTCTCTCTCCTGCCTAGCAATTGACCCTTCAGCTCTTTACTAGACCAATCAGGTATTGTAGGCAGGCAAAGTAACACAGCTTTACAGAGTTAAACAGATGCAGCATAAAAGAATGCAAAAATATCCTTGCATCATAAGCAAATATTCCACAGCATAAGTGAATGTAACACATCTTGAACTAATATTCCACAACAGCCATGTTGTATGTTACAGGAGCAGCCTTTGCCATCTTGAGTTCTCCCTTTCCTTCAGGCAGTAGTGAGGGTCAGCTAAAAGCTCAAGGGGGTCTGGTCTCAGGAGTGATCAGCATGAGAATATAAAAGGAATGGTAACCAGGTGGCTAGAAAAGGGAACAGACAGAACAGCCATACAGACAGCATCTGTCACATGCACAAGCCGAGACATCTGTCCCTAGAGAAGACTTCTGGTTTCCAGGTAGCTTCTTCACTGGGGTTCTTTCTTGAAATAGACCTGTCTTGGCTGTGACTGTTTCCCGTCATCACAAGTGTTTGGCTTTTAGCAGAGTAACATGTTAGGATACTCTAGGCAAAGGTGTTCCCATACCCTGCCCCAGCTCCTCAGGGCCTGAACTCTCGAGCCTGTGGACAGGGTTGTCTACTGTGCAAGAGACCTTCCCACTTGTCCTGTGTTGCCCTGGATAATAGAACTCCACCTCAATCTGTAGGACTTTAGAGTGCTCAGCCTTTCCAGGGAGCTGACTGTGGTTCCCATCTGGGTGAGCAGCGATAGCAGTAGGGAGCAGGGTTAGAGGATCAGTGTCTATGTAGCCAAGCCCTGTTCTTCCTGCTGCTACTCTAGTTAACCATTTCTTTTTCTGTAATGGTCCTAGAACTATCAGTGCCTCACTGAGCCTGGCTGTGGGTCCAGAAAGAGGTGTGACAAGGGCCGCATGCAGCCTCAGGCTCCTGGGAAACCTGGGGTAGTACAATGCTCTGGAAAATGATCTCTGTCTATGATACATGGAGATCAGAACTGACACAAGTGTCCAGTGGGTGTAACATACATTCTGGCTTCTGCTGTGACCTCCTATGGCACCTAGTCCATCTTCCCATGCAGTCCTGACCACTGGCACCTCAGAGCAACTAGTGAGGACATAGACTTACAGCCCTGTTCTTCACTGAGGCCCTAGGAAGCCCAGGATGGACAGTACTTGGACCTTCTGAAGGGAGAGAACTTTACTAGACTAGACAGGGAACCAAGGAACACTAAAATGGTCCTTGAGTCGCCCAATTCCCAAAAGCTGTTTCTCTGGAGACTTTAGTTCTGCACCTAGCAAAGCCCAGTCACTGACTGAGGCCTCAGTCTTCACTAAAAGTAACACCTGCATTTTTCATTTTTTTATTTCTTCAGATTTATCTCCAAAAAAGTATTTTACCACCTGACTGTTGACCGGCCTGTCATCTACGATGGAAGCGATTTCCCGTAGCATCAGGACCTGAACTTTAGAGCTCCTCATCATCCACAGGAAACACTACTCCTCCTCACCCATCTCATTAAACATGTACACCCACACTCACTCACAAAATTTTAAAAATTAAAAAATTAGAAACAAAGGAAATACAATCAGCTGTACCCCAGCTCACCAGCTCTGCAGCTCTGGCAGAGCCTTGTACTGCACCTTAGAAACTACTCTGCCAAGATTCACAATATGCTTGTTATATGCGTCTGTCACTATCAGTTCCTAGGGCTCCTAAGGACCAGATACGAGACTCAGCTATCTTCTCACCCAAAGGGACACCTTGCCAAATGTTTGTACTCTAGAAACACCGTTGGCCTCACCTGGGATCATAGTTGGTAACAGTCTGCTGTGGTATTTTTCAGGCAAGGATTCAAAGTGAATCCTTGTGTAGTCCCAGGAGAAGGAGACCATAGGGCCATCACGTGAGAGATGCACCTACCCCTTAATTTATCCATAAGAAGGGGCTGCTTTCTCCTACTCAGCAATGGGGGGAGGGGGGGCGCGTGGCGATGCTGAACTGTGCTGTCCTGAGCCCTTGTCTACTCAGGGCCTTTGCTCAGCCTGGCTACTCAGCAGCTCTAAATCACACACATCACACACACACACACACACACACACACACACACACACACACACAAGAACCAACCAGAGGTCTAGGAAAGAGCAGTCACTCGCTACCTGAAGGCTTCAGCTCTGCATATGGATAGCAGGAGTAGAAATACAGGCCAAGTTCCCTACAGTGGACTCAGGTTGGCCTCAGAGCTCATGTGTCAACCCGTAGCCCATCTTTGTTTGTAAACCCCAGACCTTCTGTCTCATCTGCAGACAGTTGTTTACTCGTGAGTAGAGTCAGTTAAGAACCACTTTCAATACCTGGAACCTTTCTAAAAAGTCTTTGGTAAGGAAGAAGCCATGTAGCAGAAGAACAGAGAATAACTTCCTTTTGGCCTCCATCTGCCCGCCACTCCCTCTTGCTCATCAGCTCATATCTGATACAGCAGACAGACAGCTGTTCTCTGTGACCCCTTTTTACTCCCACCACCAGTTTACCTTTGTTCGTAACTTTTTGCCATGTGAGGTCATCATATGCAGCTGAGTCTTCAAAGACTGACAGGGCTCCTTGTAGGTCTGTATGTGGCCTGAGATTGCTGAAGACCAAATCATCCTACCTTTGAACCTTCCTCTTGCAAATGGAAGACTGAAGCCACCTTGTTTACTAGGCCAACAGCATCCAGCACCAGCTAGGATCTCGTTTTTATTATTTTACTTTTCCAGGGTATGTTGGAGACACTGGCCAAGCTCATGGCTTTCTGCCGGTGTCACTGCCTCCGTCTGCATCAAGAGTGGCCATTCACTGAGTTACTATTGTGTTGGGGATCTGGGAGGGGCAGCTCTTGTGAAGTTAGCTCATTACTGAGGTGAGAGGCTTCAGTGCTGACTGCCTAGTACTCTAGTAAGTGCTTACCAACTCTTTGTCTTTGATAGTATATTTATTTTTTGTGCTGAATGGACTTTGTACTGTATTATATATTAGTTCACTGTTCATGTTCCAGCTCACAGTTCATGCTCCTTAGCACTAGGTTACTAGAGAACATTTGGCCCTGTGTAAGTGTGCCTTTCATACATAGCTTTATTATTTTAAGTAGTTCATTGGAGTAACTTTTAAAAATGCAAATGACAATTGAAGAATCACTGAGAAAGATGGTGGCCCAGCTGGACTTAATTATACTACAGATCATAAGGAAACATCCTTGAGATCCTGGGTCATTCTTTTTCTAAGGACAGCTCCTCCTGTAATGACTCCGCTATGTTATGAGGAATCATAACAGCCATGTTAGTAGTGTTGCCAGCTGCCTGTTTACCCGTGACACTGAAGCCACTACATGACTTCACCCAAGAAATTAACCAGCTACTCAGACACAGGGAAGTATGTCTGAGGCAGAGATAGGGCCCTCCATGTCTCAGTAGACTTGGAGAGCATATACCCTAGATTCCAGCTAGCCCTGGGCCAAGAAGGCAAAGGGATTCTCAAGCAGAAACCTGGAACTGAAAATCTCCATACGGTTTGGGAAGTGGAAACAAAGAGCCATATGTAAATAAAGATGTTATTTCTGAACAGGTTCAGTTGTCCACCAAGTATCAAGCCACTCCTGGCCCAAAAAAGAAATCTTGCAGCTCTAGTTTGATATTCATGGAGTTTTGTTTTTAAACTCCGTGATTCTACCTGTGAGAATCCTTTATACTCAGAAAATACTCTTGGCTCAGAGGTTTTGGAAAAGGAGGCAGAGAGGAGCCATCTTTGGTGCACAGAACCAGGGAATGCAATATAAAGACCATTGAGTGCTGCTCACATTGACATAAACAAACACTACTTGGTAGAAACTTAGCACAATTTCCTCATCTCACTTAATTTCTTCCAACGAACAAGAAAGTTAATTCAAAATCTTCTTTTCCCTCTCAAACACCTTTTAAATTTCAGGAGATCTCTCTGATGAAGGGGTATTTTTAGACCCTTTTGACGTGTATTTAATCTAGATGCCCTGCTTTTGGTGACTGCAGTGACACTGAGTCTCTGTGGGAAGCTTGACGATTGGAATGCACTTTAATTCATTAATCCTCATTTTGTGTGGCCTTATGAGATAATGGGTCAGGGAACCCATTTCATTCTTATCTGCCAAAGAGTTACTCAGAAGCACATCAAACACCAGCACTTCATCTGCCCAAGGGGATGAAACTTTGGTATCACTGAATATTCTCCTTTAGCAGTGTCTGCTATGCCATTTGGAAATGTTTTTTTTAACCTCAGGTTTCAAATAAAGCAAACACTATGGCATTTGGAGTAGCTTTGTCTTTCATTCCTCTGACAAAAATAAATCATTAAATGAGTGACAGAACTACCCTGCAGGAAGCAGAACATCTTACAGGAGCCCTGCAGAAGGGAGTGTAAGTAGCTAACCTGTTCTGGCATTCCATACTCCCTGGTCCTCTCCGGTGTGTGTGGGAAGGGGTGGTATTGAGATATATATCTTGTTAGGCTATTAAAATTAATATATTAATCAGTTGAAGTGGCACAAGTATTGGAAGTCAGTAAGTTAGCATGTGGTAATTTTAAAATACGTTTATTAGTTCTCATAGTATTGGAAGGTTCTTTGGAGGTTATGGGGAGTAGAAGGGGGGGAACCAGAGGCAGGGAGTTGTCAGGTCCTATCCATCTGTGAACTACAATAATGTTTCTATAAATGCAGTAGTGGCACAAACACTATGGGGGTAACCAACTACTTTCTGATTAGATTTAAGGCCCACTCCACAAGATGAAGCATATGTCTGTTCCTATAAGTCTGGCCAAGGACCCATATTTTGGGAGCTCACTGGCCTCAGGGGTGAGCCTATTACTACTATTCTGCTAAACTGACAGTTTCAAACTGGCCTCTAAATTCATATCTCTACCCGTGGACTAGTACAGCTCTCAGACCTATCAGAAACATTTTCTTTGTGCAGTGGATGGTGGTTAATGCATAAACGACTGGCCAAAATACAGAGTATCAGTGGAGTAGTCTGCCATGAACGGGTATCTATATCATCCCCTTCCCCCAAGGCTCAGGGATCATCTCCGAAGAGGTAGAGGAAAGACTGTAAGAGTCAGAAATTGCAGAGGACCAAAGCAAAACAGTGTCTTCAGGATGTGACAGAACTCAGGGTAACCATGATTACCTGTACAAGTCCTGCACAGATCAGCCGAACAACACTCTAGCATAGAGTGGGAAAGGATTCATGACTTAGGACCCCACCCCATCTAAGAAGCTGGGCAATTGGTGACTTCTGGGGGAGGGAAAAATCTCTTTTCTTTAAGGATGTGGTTCCTAGTTTGTCGGTAATGTCAAGTGGGTGACTGCACACCTAGGAATAAATGGGCAGCACAAATTGGACCCAGTGATTTATTAAAACAAAACAAAACAAAACAAAAAACCTGAAACTGGGATGGGTTTAGAGGTGGCAGTGGATCTGGGAGGAGTTGGAGGAGTGGAGATGATGTGCTCTAAAAATGTTATGTGAAATTCCCAAAGAATTAATTTTAAAAAATTAAGAAACATGGTCATAATGTTGTGTTGCTTGACACAATTTCCTTAAGAGGTTCTTCCCTTTGACTTTAGGCTGACCCTCCCGTTCAAGCCTAGGTTGACCATACCTCCAGCCTTTGACTATAGCTGCATGGGAGACCCCAAGCTAGATCCATGCAAGTGAGTCCTTTCCAAATTCCTTAGCTCAGTAGCAAGTGGAAAGGCTGTTGTTTATGCCACTAAATGTAACGCAACAATAATTGAGACTTCTGGCATAGATTTTCTGCATGTTCTTTCCACACCCTTGTGTCTTGTTTATATGCACCTCAACCAACCACAATCTTCTTTGATTATGTATCAATGTAGTTGGTTTGATTGTATTAATAATTAACTCTGAGTCACCAATGTTTGGGTGCATTAAGAAAAGAAATCAAAGCACTTCCCCTTGGTGTCATTTGACCAAGAATAGGCTCAGATTTCAATTCTCTACTTTGTTCTCTCTTTGTCTCCTGTCTCTGCTATATGAATCTGAATCTGTGCCGGCCTGAAGACTATCAGACTATCTTTTAAATATCTCTCTCTCTCTCTCTCTCTCTCTCTCTCTCTCTCTCTCTTTCTCTCTCTCGTGTGTGGGTAGGTGAGTGCTGTGTCTCTCTCTGTTGCCAATAAAGGATTTCGCTCTGTATTTATTGAACAGAAAGCATCATCTGGAGAAGTAATACTTTAAAGTAATACTTTACAAAAAAATAATACTTTAAAGTAATACTTTACAGAAATTTTTAACAGAGTTTTATGAGGGATTAAATTATATACTTCAACTGACCCAGATAACAAACAGTATACAGCAAACATCGTTGTTTAACAGTTCATATATTGTGTTCAGAATTTATGGTGGATATTTATTTTATAAGATTACTTTCAACCTCTATTTTTGTTGTTTTCAGCAAATGATTATTATTACAAATATGCAAGCATACATGCATTACTTGGGTGAGGGGCATAGAATATATAATTTGAGATTATAGCTCTGCATTATGTTGTAAAAGTTGGTTACATGGGCAATCCAAAACAAGTAAAGATTTACCACCATCTCAACCTTTACAATTATTGTATTTATATTTGATATTTAATTGTTCACAATTATAATAATGAGAAAGCATAAAACAAATAGCAAGTGATGAACATTTTTAAATATACATTATAAAGCACTTTTCCAGGATATGCAATGATTTTTTTTTCCAATGTGAGAAATTTGGTAAGTAGTTAAAAACATAGGTGGAAAGTGAAATATAGTACATGCTTTTTTCTTAATTTCTCTAAAGTTAAATGTTTCGTAAACTGTTGGCACTACAGAGTATGGGAAGGGGAGGCAGTAGGGAGGCAGATACCCTCCTGGAAGCCTCAGAAGGAAAGGATATGGGAGAACCTGCAGCAAATGCTTCTACCCTGAAAAAGTTCCAGCAGAGCCAATGCTAGGTCTCCACCACCCAAATATATTCTCAGGCTTAGTCTGTGAGAGTTGTTTTGCCACCTCAGGGAACAGGCTAGATCCCTTCCTAGACAGAGCCTACAGGTAGGTTTGGACATGGCACCTCCAGCCAGACACAGAAGTAGAGTGGGAGCAACAGACTCTAATTGATGTTATGATGTGGTCAGCTGTACCTGGACTGACCAACCTGTCTTACAAATGGCTCCAAAAAAAAAAAAATGGTTCTCCTTGACTCACAAGAGACTAAGGAGATCAGAAAGGCATTCAACCTCAGATCGTTTGGGTGTATTCTAGATCTAAAAATCTGTAAATAATGAGATGTACAAACACAGTCTCCCCACTAATGGGATTAACAAGAAAAGATCCCAACATGGAAAATGTCACTAATCCTTGCTTTTGTGGACATGGCAGCAACCAGTGCTCTGTCACCTCTGGAGAGTAGTAGCGTTGAATCTGGAGTAACAGAAATGTGGAGCATTGAAGAAACTCAACACCTCCAGAACAGAGCTGCACTGACGGCGTGTGCACGGCTGAGGTGTCTTCACTGCCGATCAAGCATCCTCCTCAGAATTGCAGTTACTACAACCAAAACACAGCTAGTGCCCTGCTGGTGTGGTCAGTTTTGAAGACTTTGGCATATCCTGACTGAGCATGATAAAGCTGTTTAGGCTCATTCTAGTTTGTTTTACTTGGTTTTGTTTTTTTCTCCTTTTCTTATGATTTGTTTTCTCTGTAGTCTCATCAGTCAGGCGACTATGTTGTTTGTGTCTATGTATCTCATTATTCCCCAAAGGACCATCTGTCTCATTGAGAACTTCTTTCAGAGGGAGAGAGCCCCTGAGGTTGTCTCCAATAGCATGGAAGAAAGCTTCAAGCTACCCTCTCTCCTTGTGAATGAAACCCACTGGGCCTGGCTAATGCATCCCAAGTTCTTTAGGGTCTTCATGAGATCCCTGCGGAATCTCTCACCCACAAAAACATACAGAACTGGGTTCAGGCAACTGTGGAGGAAAGCAATGGTTTGAGTGACCTGGAAGAGGATGTCAATGTTGGTGGAGATATCACAGTTGGAGATGAACATGGCATAGGCATCAACAGCCTGCACTACAAGAACGCAGTTGTAGGGGAACTGAGACGTAATGAAGACAGTGAGGACAGTGATGGTCACCTTTAGGGCTTTGTGCTTGGATGACTTTTTGGCCTGTACCAGGGTGTGAATGATGATAGTGTAGCAGAAGGCCATGACCATGAAGGGGAGGAGAAATCCCAAAGTGACCTTCAGGATCAAAACAACTGATTTCAGCTTGGCATTCTTATCCTTAGGGTAGACCATGGTACATATGTCAATGCCAGATTCCCTACTGGTTTGGCTGTACAGGATTTCTGGGATACAGAGCACAGCTGCCATTACCCAGATGGTAATGCAGACTATCTTGCTGTACAGAAGCCTTTTCTGCCTCCAGATCTGAGCCTTCATGGCCTGTACAATGGCAATGTACCTGTCCACACTGATACACATAATGAGTAGCACACAGCTATAGAAGTTCATCTTGTACATGCTGTTTACAACCTTGCACAGGAAGGTCTGGAATGTCCACTGGCCAGTAGCAGCAATCGCCCAAAAGGGAAGAGTGGCAAGAAAGAGGAGATCAGCAATTGCCAAATTCAAAAGGAACATGTCAGTCATGGTCTTCACTCTTGTGCAATACCAATAGACAAGGATGACCAGGCTATTGCCCAGGGTGCCCACAATGAACACAAGCCAGTACAGAGGTGGAAGGAAATGGCTCGCAAACTGCCTGACATTGTTTTTCTTACAGAAGAGGTCACTGGCAGTGAAATTCATGAAGTCGTCTATGGAAGTAGGGGAGTCTTCTATGGAAGTGGTGAAGTCATAGCTGTAGTCACCGAATATGGCAGGAATAGGGGTCTGTAAAAAATATAGATTGCATTCAATCAAGGATAACTTTTGAGTGGTCTAGTCTGATGGTAGTTAAAATAACAAGATCCAATGCCAATTACCAAAGCTCTGTCGTAAAGCAAAATGAGCATATGTGTTAAAAGAAAGACTGTGTTATGATTTCATTTGGTTTGAGTGTGTAAGGGCTATGGAATGCTGGTCACTAACTGTCTTGGTTTGAGGTGGGGCCTCCTGTTGGTTATGTAACGGGGCACTACCATGGAAGACATTTGTAGCTACAAATATTCCCCATTACGCTGGTTCCCCTGGACCGGTTTCTCTCCACCCACCAGGTCCCACTCACTAGCTCCTGCAGCCACTTATGAAATAACCATTCTGAGGCTTAATATTAATTACAACCTCTTTGGCCTATTAGCTCAAGATTCTTATTAGCTAACTCTAACATCTTAAATTAACCCGTTTCTATTATTTTATGTTTTACCATGAGGCTCATGGTTTGTTACCTCTTGCTTCTTGGGCAACTACATGGCATCTGCCTGATTCCTTCTCCTTTCCTCCTCTATTTCTGCTTAGATTTTCTGCCTTGCTATATTCTGCCCTGCCATAAGCCAAGGCAGCTTTTTTATTAACCAATGGTAATAAAGCATATTCACAGCATACAGAGGAGAATCCCACATCAGACGTTAATGAGTTCTCTTTGGACCCAAGTTCCTGCAATAGCAGGTTGTCATGAAAGAGGGGGATCCTTGTCCTTCAATATCTCTGATTTCCTGTCTTGACATAGGACTGTGTATTTCTTCTTTTATGTTGCTTTTCTGCCATGTTGTGATATAACCAGAAGACCTGCACCAGAGGTTGACCAGATGAGGCTACGCAATCTGGGGAGACTTTCAGCCTCCCAAACTGTAAACTGAAGAAAAGTTTCTTTATACATAACCCAACGTAAGGTGTTTTGTTAAAACAACAGAAATTAGCCAGGCAGTGATGGCACAGGCAGGGTGGTGGTGGCTCACACCTTTAATCCCAGCACTTGGGAGGCAGAGACAGACAGATCTCTGTGAGTTTGAGGCCAGCCTGGTCTGCAGATCTAGTTCCAGGACAGCTAGGGTTGTTACACAGAGAAACCCTGTCTCAAAAAACCAAAATGGCCGGGCATTGGTGGTGCACTCCTTTAATCCCAGCACTTGGGAGGCAGAGGCAGGCGGAACTCTGTGAGTTCAAGTCCAGCCTGGTCTATAAAAGCTAGTTCCAGGAAAGGCTCCAAAGCTACAGGGAAACCCTGTCTTGAAAAAAAAAAAACAAAAAAAAATGATAATAGTAATAATAATAAAACAATAGATAAATCAATAGAAATTGACTCATGAAAGAAATGTTTATTTAATAAATGTCACCTACCCATCTGTAAGGTGGTTACTATGCTAATTGTTAAAGGTAAACTAGTCTGGTTTCTACTTTCATAGAACTTAATTTATTCATGAAGCATACAGAGAAGCAAATGAACACTTGTAGTGTGGATGACAAGTATTCTGGTTTGATGGGAAAGATAACTTTGGGACCCCACAAATGGGCACTGTTGGGAATAGTATGTTAATGTGTATTACTTTTGTTTATGCTGCATTTATTTAACTCTGTAAATCTGTGTTTCTGTGCCTGTCTAAAACACCTGATGGTCTAATAAAGAGTTGAATACCAAGTAGCAAGGCAGGAGAGAGAAATGGGTGGGGCTGGCAGGCAGAGAGGATAATTAGAAGGGGAAATCTGGGAGAGAGAGGTGGCCAGAGAAGGAGCAGGACATCAAGGGCCAGCCATCCAGCTACACAGCAATCCATGGAGTCAGAAGAGAGAATAGGGAGAGTTCAGAGGCAAAAAGTAGATGGGATAATGTAAGTTAAGGAAAACTGGTAAGAAACAAGCCAAGCTAAAGCCAAATGTTTATAATAAGCTTCTGTGTGATTTATTTGGGAGCTGGGATGCAGGCCCCCTAAAAGAGCAAAAAATACTACAATAGGGCACTTTACTTGAATTATGTGAGTACCTGAGACACATGACAGTTCTTTCCCCCAACTGTTCAACATCTGCAAATATAAAAAGTCACAGGAGCTCTTAAACCTACTGGAGTCATGGCACCTCTGAGTTTCCTGAGAGCCCCCAAAGTAAACATGCAGCACAACACTTATCTGCACGCACACATTTGCACACACACATTTGCACATGCACATCATGACATTCTCAACTACACATAAAAATGTGACTGCTGTAATATTTCCAAGAACCCTTGCTAGAAAATTATTAAAAATTTCAAGATAGTGAGCATTAAGACAAGTATGAAAATAATTTTGTTTGCTTGTTTATATTTATTTATTTATAAATGTATACAGTGTTCTGCCTGCATGCCTTAAGAGGGTACCAGATCTCATTATAAAGAGCCACCATATGGTTGCTGGGAATTGAACTCAGAACCTCTGGAAGAACAAGCAGTTAGTTCTCTTAACCTCTAAGCCATCTCTCCAGCCCCAAATATGAATATTCCTAAACATGTGACCCCTGTATGACCGCAAGGGTCATACACCCAAGGCTCTGGTTCTGACAGGCACACACAGAGCACACATGCACTTGTTCACATTAATAAGCATAAATAGGCCCACACTGCTGCTCACAAGCACATATACACACTCATACACACAAGTACACTTGCATAAACATATCTAGACACATATGCTCACATGTGTCACTGTTCTTCCTGTGGGTATCACTGATAGAGGGGGAAGGGATGAATAAAATCTGGGTGGGCAGATAGAGGATGTAGCAGAGTACCAGGTCCAAAGCTTGGTAACTGTTGCATTGTTGAAGCCTCCACCTCACACCCACATGGTCTCACCTCCTTCTAGCTCCTCTTTGGAGCTCCCATTAGGCCTTGTAATTTCCCAGAGACTCTTAGTCACCAGTGTCTTGCCCTGAGGGACATTCTCTGCATTTCCTTTATGAGAGGACAATCTCACAGTCTTTCTTTTCCTTGAGAAAATATAATAATTTTTCAAGTCATCTGTCTGTATTGAACTAGACATAGTCTCTATGAGGGTTTTGTTTTGCTTTGGGTAGCTAATATTACTAAATGCATAAGCACAATTAGTTAGTTTATGTACTTAAATATTAATATTGAATAATAAAATTCCTCTACTTTCTGTTGGCTATGCTTGTTTTGTCTGCATAACTCACATATGCTTCTAATGGTCAACCAGTCTTTCCTAAGCTATGCAGTTGTTAAATATTGGAGAATCTCCATATTGCATTTTTGTCTTTGAAAGTCACAATTACCCCAAGTGGATTAATCTGTGAAAAAGTTCTACAGGACTGCATTTTAATTGCATATTGGCACAATAACAGACTTTTGAGATGTCCTTTAAATTTTTCCTTAGCAGTGCTACATTGACTTATTTGAATATGGAGTAATATCCCTGTGCATCTGTTCATGCATGCATATGCATACATGTATGTGTGGTTCTTCTTAGCTACCAGGACACACTAAATCAGCTGATAAGAAGCAGTAGATAATAGGAGTTTGACGCAGAATTCTGAAGCTCACACCTTACAACAGTATCCGAGGGCTTTCATTTTTCTTCTGTAAAAGGGAAAATAAAAGGTTTACATGTACATAGTTGAAACCAAGCCTCCTCAGTGGGGCTAACAAATTTTCCTTCAAAATACCTTGTAGGTTTCCAAGACTTACAGAATGGGGAGGCTCAATTAGGTCGTCAACAAAATCATTTTATAACACACCAAATGTTCTTAGTATTGTCTTGGAATATTTGCAGATATGGTTGCACATACTGTTAATTTGATCCCAGTAAGGTGAGGAGGCAACCTTGATTTTCTCTGCAGTAGAATTTGGCTCTTGGTCTCAGAGGCTGAGAGACTGTTACTGAGCAGGCTGCTTCTGGTATACCCATCACTCGGTTTTCTTATTTGGGATTTTGGAAAATAGGCAAAGTTAAAAAGACAGCCCAGATAAAAGAAATGCCTTTCCACAGTGTTGACTCTCCATAGTCAGAGAAGTCTGGATGGACCACAGGAGTCAGGTGGATCTCAGTAAGATTGTGGTTTCCACACTGCGTATAAACTGGCTGTGACATCCTGATCTTACCTTTTGGGGACATTACTACTCAGTTGCTGCATGTGCGAGCAGCCATCACTGTGAAGAGCACTGACTGCTCTTCCATTGGTCCTGAGTTCAATTCCTAGCAACCACATGGTGACTCATAACCATCTATAATGAGATCTGGTGTCCTCTTCTGGTGTGCAAGCATGCATGAGGCAGAGTACTGTAAACATAATAAGTCCTTTTAAAAAATCAAATGGGTTCTCCCTTGCTTTCTTCTGTGTGAGCTTCAAAACACGCATGTGACAAAGCCTGTCCTAGTCAAGGAGTACAAAACCCCTCAGCTATTAACAAAATCTAAAATTTAAATGTATTGTCTTCACAACATGCCCCTCCCAATGCTGACTCTGTGTTCACAAAGAGAATAGATATCACCAGAAATACCCCACATCCCCACATAGTGATGGGCACTGCTGACAGAGATCCGTAGTAGATTTCTTCCCATAACCCTATGCAGGGAAGCCCAGAGAGTAAGAGTAGGTGTTTCTGAGGCATGACTATACTCACCGTGAGTTCTGTGGGTATCATGGTGAGTCAGATGCCAGCCAGCTTCTAGAAAGAGAGGATAAACATCAGAAAGAAAACAGACTTATAGACGCACTCTAGGAACCAAACACCAAAGGTGGAGATTTGACATTAAACTTGTTCGTATTTGTGGAAAACGTCACACCCACAAAAAAAATAGAATCCGTGTCCCTTTTCAGACTAGAGTCGCATATCAGAATATTGTTGAAAGTACAGAATGAAAGTAACAATTCTGGAGTTACATCTTACTTCTTAACTCTAATAGACCCTGGATTTAATGCTTAACTTCTTAGATAACTAGCAAAACTTGCATCTGTGGATGAGGAACCACAGGGGCTCGTAGGTAGTCTTCAGCCCATCTTTACCTGGTAGTTCATTTCCTCCTGTCTCAACTTGTGTAAGGTCTGGGAAAGGCTCCTCCTTCCCACCCCCTTATTATATTGCCTAGGCTTGAGCTAGCAATACCATGTCATGGATCCGTAAAGAAGGGTGTCCAGGAACTCAGCTGGAGAGAGAAACCCAGGGATATGCAGCCAGAGATGGACTCCTTTGTGGAGGGGTCTGTGCCTGGACAGCACCTGCACCCCAACCTTCTGTCAGTACCACACATCTTGGTTCTAGATCCAACGTGTTCTGCTGCCTCCTTTCCTGTGGCTTTCCTTTCCACTTTGCCTGTGGATTTCGTTACATAAAATGAGGTACAGCCATTCTGAAAAACAGTTTAGTGTGTGTGTGTGTGTGTGTGTGTGTGTGTGTGTGTGTGTGTGTTGTATATGTGTGTACACATAAGTGTGTGAATACCTGTGCCTGAGAAGGCCAGAAGTCAACATCAAGTACCTTCACTCTCTACCTTTCTTTTTTATTTTTTAAAAGCATATGGGTGTTTCTCCTGCATGTATGACTGTGCACCTGATGCGGGCCTAATACCAGATGTGGCCAGAAGAGGGCATCAGATCCCCTGGAACTGGAGTTAAGAATGTTTGTAAGGCACCCTGTGAGTTCTGGAGATCAAACCCGGATCCTCTGGAAGAGCAGCCACCAATACCCTTAACTGCTGAACCATCTCTCCAGCGCTTATCTTTTCCTTTACTTTTTGCTTGTTTATCAGTTGGTTAGTTTTGGGGTTTGTTTTTGTTTTGTTATGGTAGGACCTCACCGAACCTGGAGCTCACTGCTTCAGCTTTCCCGAAGGCCTCCTCAGAGCTGGGGTTACAGGCATCACCACCACACGTGGCTTCTATAAGTGCTGAAGATCCAAATGTGTCCTCCTGCTTGTACAGCAAGGACTTTAACAGGAGCCATCTCCCAGCTACTGGAGAACAGTTTGGCAGCTTCTTAAAATGTCAAACATGTGCTTGCCTTACATGTAACTATGCTAAGCCCAAATAATTTCCTAAGAAAAACGCAAGCTGTGTCCCCACAGAAGCTTGCACTTGAATCCCCAAGTGACAGCGAAATGGGCCACCAAACTGTTGATGTAGCGATGAATGGGAAAGCTGCTGAAATGTTCACACAGCAGGGGAAGGAAAGGTCTGCCTCTTCACACAGGAGCTCAAACTGGTCTCAAAATAATTTTATGCTGAGTGATTAAGGTGAATTCAAAAGTATAGACTGTATGTTTTCACTTACATGAAACTCCAGATAACACGTACTAGCCTTCAGTTGCAAATGCAGATCAGAGATTTCCTGGAAAGAGGCAGTGGAGGAGAGCAAGGGGGCAGACAGGATGCAAAGGTGAGTGAGGAAGTGTGAGAGGAGGAAGACCTATGATTGTGACAGTTTCACGGGGGGCAGGCAGGTGCACAAGGACCCGTTCTTCACTTTACATGTTTGTGGCTATTGTTACTAAGACTCAACGAAGTTTCAAGATAAAGAGGAAAATAAGGTGAGTTGTTTTTTTTTTTTCTTTCAGTAATCAGTCATCTCCGTTATCAGCAAGCCCAAGCCCCCAGGAAGCTGTCAGAGCTCTCTTTCCTGCCCTTCCCACAACAGCTCTTCCAAGCACCTTAGTGTCTTGTGCTGTGCTTTGGAAATGAGGGAGCCACACAAACTCAGAGTTTTTAAGTAGTAGAGTAGAGGGTAGGTGTGGTGATGCAAGACTGTAATCCCAGCACTTGAGAAAAAGAACAGAATTCTGTCTATATAGCAAAACCTTGTCTATAAAGTAAAATTCTATTACATAGGTAAATGAATAGATATACTGAAGATAAACAAATAAATGCACACAGTCTCTATATCTTTTGCATCTTTGAAATTAGCTCTGGAAAAGTTATACAAAAATGTAAAAAAAAGAATAACTTAGACATCGACCCCCAAGACAGAAAGAAGGGAACCTGGAGTGGGGCTAAATCTGAGTCTGTGTGGCCTTGGCCACCGCCTCAATAAATTTATAAATATATAATAAATATAAGGGGAAATCCTTATATTGTCTTTAAACATACTGTTTTTTGGGGGTTTTTTTCACTTCAAAAAAAACATTTTACAGAGTTAGAGAAATAGTTCAGTGGTTAAGAGTATACAATGCTCTTACAGAACACCCAAGTTCAGTTCCCAGCACCCACATCAGGGAGCTCACACTAGTAACTCCATCACCGTTAGTAACTGCAGCTCCAGCAGGAGCCAAGACCTTCCATAGGAACCTTCACGTGCACACATTCCCACACAGACACAAACACACCAAAAAAATAAATCTTCTAAATTTTTTAGATATTTGACAAATATAGAAAAGTTGAGAGAGAAAAATCAAAATACCCAAACATTTACATCTCCAAATAACTGATATCAACTTATTTTCCTTCCCAGCCTTGTCTCTGTGCATGTATGCACTCTTATTTTCTCTCTTTTTCTCTTCATCACACCAATTATGGCATTTTATCCATCACTAAGTATTCTTCTCCAGTCTCCGAACAGGGGATGACCCGTAAGTTACTTAAACACTCACTCTGGGAGTCTGATAACTTGCTTCCCGTTTTTGTTGATGATTGCTTTGAAATACTTCTGGATGAAAAGAAATGGGACATGCTTTTTTTTTCTTCTTCAGAAAAATTATACTCTTTTCTTCCTAAATTTGAGAATCACAAATTCTCCCTGGATTGCATTTCCAAATTATTCTGGGATCAGTGGCTCTTCAGGGTTGATGGGTTTCAGTTCAGTCGCATTCCGGGTGTCATTGGGACATCACTGAGCCCATGTTAAGATGGAAATTTTTAGCTACAAAGAAAAAAAAGCAACCTCTGGGGGATGAAAATTGCTTTTCCACTAAATGAAAAGCTCCCCTAACCAAGCAAATGACTCTGGGAAGCCGAGACAGACCTGGAGACATGAGTCAGAAGTCATCCCATATATATTTCTAATACTAGTAGCATATGTCACCTGACTTTTCTTAGTAAGAAGAGTTTAAACGGTGATCACGTGACATCTGAGAAAAGTTTCAAAAGAAAGAAGCTGGAAAAGGAAGGTGGTTTTGGTTACAGCAAGTTTTAGGGTGATGATCCCAGCGCAAGTATGAAGAGATTTTCATAGTACAGGGTGCATAGCTATGGATCTGGGTTTGTATTAGCCTTTAGGGGGGTACACAGTATCAAAATTTATAGGGAGGGACAGCTCTGCTCAGCAATGTTCTCCTAAGAGCCTGCCCTGTTCTCTCAATGCTGGAGTATTTTCTTGCAGAACAAAAGTTGGGAAACAAATATGTACAGCAGTTGGTCACATTGTGATACTCCTACTCCAAAACCACACATAGGCAATTAAAAAGAAAAACAGGTGTTTCAAGCTAATAAAAAATAGGCCACTGAAATTATTAGATTAAAATGTAAAATATATATACAAGAGCTCATACCCTTTGCTGCTGGTTGGGACAGAAGCTCTCCTGCATAAGCCCAACCCATGATCACTGGTGAAAAACGAGACTTGATTTTTTTCTTTTAAGTTTTGCAATGCAGCGATGTATTAGAATATTTACCAAGTATGTGAAGCTATAAGGACTATTGTAAAAATAGCTTGTCAGCTTTTTTTCTTTTTAAGACAGGATTTCTCTGTGTAGCTTTAGAATCTGTCCTGGAACTTACTCTGTAAACCAGGCTAGCCTTGAACTCACAGAGATCCCCCTGCCTCTACCTCCCAAGTGCTGGGATTAAAGGGATGAGCCACCACCACCTGGATTTATCAGTTTTTTTTTAAGGAGAGAGAGAAAGGAACAGAAGTAGCAGTCAGTGATCTTCTGCTCAGCACACCTGCTTACAAGCCGCTTCAGTGGCTCTACAGGAGCCATGCCTGCCAGTTCACACCCAGGTGGCACTATTTGGGACTGAAATTCTACACCAGCTTCTTACGAAAGTTGATCTTTCTTGCATTATAAATCTTCTTCTGGCACATGAGAAATTTGGAGGGAGCCAAAGGAGAAAACAAACACAGACCTCCCTAAAGTAGTGTGTGAATACCACAGACAGTCTTAGAGTTTTAAATTGATTTCTCTTTAATTTTTGTCCAGATACTTGTCAAATGCATTACTATACAGCCAGTCATAGAGCTTGCTTTCATTTTTTTCTTCTTGTGCTGAGGAGGGAAAAAAAGATGATGCAAAAGAAGAGGAAGGAGGAGGAGGAAACCCCACATATGACAAAAACACACGGAGAGAGAAGGAACTCAGCTGTCTCCTGGGAGTTAGAAGGCTTCAACTCACCATTGACCTGTCCTTCAGTCTCCTTCTTGTGGACACCCTAGCAGCTGAGTCTACCTGGTGAACTGAACAACATGGAGAACACCAGACCAGAAATCACAGTTACTCTGCCTTTGGTTTATCCTTTCTGCCGTTGGGGCTTGGCGACAAGGGACACACTCTCAGAGAGCCTGGATTCCTCATCTGGGAAATGAGGGCAATGACAGTCCTCTCTGATACCAGGGCTTGGTGGACAATCAAGTGGAAGGATATGCAAACACTCTGGTCGGAACATAACTTTTGTGAGAGCTGAGATCACTTTCGTCTCACAGTCAAAGGCCAGGTGTGATGGACACCAGCTGGGCATAGGCAGTGTGATAATTCACACCCTCAAGAAGCCCACTCTCAAGATCAGTGGGTAAGTTAAGACTCAAAATGACACAATAGTAATTAATATCCTGAGAGGTTGTAGGAATGAGGAAAAGAGAATTCTGGTTTCAGCACCAGGGATTATCCAGGAGGTCTTCACTGAGAAGGTGACTCTTGCTGACCCTGGGGGTTTGAAGGGCATAGAGTCATGGGTTAAGGTGAGGGAGAATTGCTCTGTGGTAGAAAAAATACATCAACTAAGACATGGAACGTGAACGCATAATGTTGAGAGGAAAGCTGATCATTCTACAGATGTGGAAAATGCCTATGAGGTAGGCCAGTCTGAAATCACGCTTACTCAGACATTGCTTTCCTATTCTGTTTCCCTTAAGGAACTGACAGAAAAATCAGATGGATGTGCCTCATTACATCCCACGTCCAGTAATTACTGTGAACATGAGTTACATCCCCAGGTCTATACTTTGACCTTTGTCCTATTTGCTACTCATGAGTTGAATCATCTCTTACATTGCGTGTGTGTGCATGCGCATGTGCGCATCAGGAGCTCTCTTCTTTGAGAACTGTAAGATCAAGTCTAGAATATAGGCTAGAGTAGACAGAAATTGGAAGAAGAGGACTTTGAATCTCCAGGTGCTGGAATGGCTATTACTTTGGATTGTTTGGCAAAGAGAATAAACGGACAGATTCCCTCTACAGTGGTTGCCTCCAGGTCCAAAGCAGCTCAGTAACAACTTCCTTGACCTGTTGGCTGACTATACAGCAGGTTAATTAAGAACTGAAGAAGAGGGGAGTAGGGAGTCATGGAGAGATTGCTCAGTAGTTAAGAGCAGATAGTGCTCTTGCAGAGATCTGAGTATGGATTCTAGCCATGTCAGATGGCTCACAACCAACCGCCAAAGCTTCAAACACCTGTTCTCCTCACATGTACACATGCATAATTAAAAGTAAAATAAATCTTTAAGTTTTTTTAGAACTGAAGAAGGTGGACATACTGAAAAAGAATGGACACAGTTATAGTCATTTAAAATAACTTGGCTTCCTTTCTGATCATAGAGGAATAGTTTCACAATGCACAAAAAGATCCAAAACCACAAATATACACACACACACACACACACACACACAAACACACAGACGTATGTGTGCACGCAAGCACACACATATGCCTTATATATAAATGATTAAAAATTTAAAAATCAAGTATACATTGTAGTTTAGCCAATGTTAAATTTCTGAGGCGTATCTTCTCACTTTCTCTTTAACACCACACACACCCTGCACATAATTTTACACGTATATTTTTAGTCAGTCTTTCCTGGACCACTCTTCATGCCCTGAACATAGAGTTATGACATGGGGTTAAACAACTGAGCACTTCATCGTCTGATGAGCCGTAGTCCACTGCTCTGCTCACTTCTTGGTGTCAAGTTTTTTGTTCCCAGGTTTTCTCTGCAATATACGTCTTTCCATGGGCAGTCTCTCAGACCCAAGGTGTCACCCTCTCTGTCTCCTGTAAACCCTCTTGCTACCTGTCCCAACACTGTTTCTCTTCACGTTGAGGTACAAACCGCCATCAATGGCCTTGAACTTGACCTTCACTGTGTGTCAGAAAGGAGCCTCGTCACTCATCCTACAAGAAGCCTGAACCATGCGGGAAGTATATAGAAAAGGGCATGGTACACATGATATCTGAACACATAAATGCACATGGGGCAGCATATAGCAAGTACACAGATGACAGCCAGGGCATAGAGGAGGGGAAGGGTGCTACTCACCAAGAGGGGAAGTGCAGAGCCTGGGTCTGGGTTTGTGGAGAGAGGACCGCTGCAGCTGTCTGGGATGAGGAGTAGGCTTCTGTGGGTTCTGAGCAGGCAGCTATCCGCTACAAAACACCAAAAAGGAAGCCAGGCCAACTCTGCCTGTGTTGTCACTGGTGGAGTAACCCAGAAGGGTGGGGAGCTATCTGCTGCAACTTCCAGCAGCACACATCAATCACTTGCAGCCAGAAATGCAAAGCTGAGAATCACTGGGATCAAAGAAAGCTATCTTCAGTGTGTACAGTGTGTATACAGAGCCAAAAAGCAGATTGTCTTTCTAGGTTACTGATACAAGAGCAGGAGACATGAGGAATCCTGGCCAGAGGCACACATTTATAAGATTTCTTTAGGCGAAGCTGCCTGAACAGGCTTATGTGAGGTGCCGCCTCAACGGTGTCCATCAAGATGTGTCCTTTGAGGCCTTGAGGAACTGTGTTGCCCAATACTAAAGCTATTGGCCAAATGTTCCCACTGAAATGGAAACTACAATGAAAAGTAGTTCCTCAGTGGCACTCCACATATACATAAGTAGCTGCCGCAGGGGACAGTGCGGATACCTAACATTTCTGACGTGGTGAACGCTCTTCAGACAGTGTGACCTTAGAAAGCTATGTATGGGATGGGTAGCTGGGAATGGAGTATGACATCACAGGGATAGATTAAACGCAGGGTTTTACACTTTCTGTACGCTAACATTGACAGTTGTGTCTTTATGAATCACAGGTGTCTTGAGGAAGTTTTGAAAAGTCTCAGCATGAAATGTTAGTTTTTCCAGGTTTTTTTTTTTTTTGACAGAGTTTCTCTGTAGTTTGAGGGCCTGTCCTGGAATTAGCTCTTGTAGACCAGGCTGGCCTTGAACTCACAGAGATCCACCTGTCTCTGCCTCCAGAGAGCTGGGATTAAAGGCATGCACTACTACTGCCCGGCTTACTTTTTATTATTATTATTAAGGCTCACAGATAATATCTTCTTAAAGGGCCACTGTTATAGTGAAGATTCCTGTTGTCATTATTTTTAAAAACTCCTTTTTTATATTTAAAATAAACAAATCACAGCTCATTCGAGAAGACTAATTTCCTCTTGGTATGTTTAGCATCCTGTGGACTGAGTGCAGTGTTACTCACAGCCACACAGCCCAGCAATCTCGACCATCATGTACAGAACAAAGGGTTTCATTATTTGTCCTAATTTATATCTCAATGGGAAAAGGCCAGTAAACATGTGAAAAGGAGAGAAACATGAGCAGTAAGAATGAAAGATGCAATTGATTCATCAGCCTTCAGGGAACCAGGGCGTGAATAAGCTAAGAAATTCCCTTCCTTTGTCCCACACTCATGAGCATAAATAGTGTTTGCAATGGCGTCACCAGGCTCTGACAGTGTCCAACACTGACAGGAAAGGAGGGGGCAGCAGGACGAGGGTGCTTCAGGCCCTGATCCTCCAGCCATCACTAAGCAAAGATAGCGGTAAACTTGCTGTATTTGTCTTGTGCCTGGAAAGCCTCCCGGAGGAAGAAGACCAGAACTATTGGACTTCCTTCTCTGGAACCCATCTCTTCACCAGGTAAGAGTATCCCAAGGGGTCAGTGTTTGTGCGCCAGAAAGTCAGAAGAGCTGATTCAAGAAAGAGTGATGGAAGCAGTGAAAAATAAACAGCAACAATCCCTGCAATCAGATTCCTTCCTCCACATGGACCGCATGGTGCAGGAGATACCAAGTCCGGAAGAGGTACTGCTCGCACAAGTATCCTCTCCTGAGACATATGGAGGAGGCTAGGGAGTCAGGAAAAGGCAAGGACGTCCCAGAGAAAGCTTCTGGATTCTCAAAGGAGTCTGGGGACACTGAAGTTCCTTTTTAGGTGTCTAGTGTGGTTCATGCCTTGCAAGGAAAGCCCCATCCTTTTGTCATCTTTGCTGGACTTCTGTATTGGCTGTCAGAATTCAGAACCGGATGCCAGTAAGAGGTTGGTGATCCCCTTTTCAAGGGGTCTCCGTATTTTTCACTTTGCTTAAGGTGGAATCTTGAAGGTAGGACACAGATACCCAAGGCCAGCTGTTGTACCAGTAACTGATGGTCTCCAGGGAACTACTGGAATCCAGAATCACAGACTTCAAGTTCTAGTCTCTGTAACAGAAATTCAAGTTGGCCTTGCTGCTGAAGCCAATGGACCCATCTGATCCCCTTTTGTTCCTTCTCATGAACCATATTCTAGAATTGTCTCTGGCAGAAAAGAAAACTCTGTCTCAGTTCTTTGCTCTCCAGGTGCATCAGGAGTCTGACTCTCCTCCTTCAATATTTACACATATTAGGAAAGTCGCATTGCAGAAGCACAGAGGGGTCTTTGGAAGGACGGTGTTGTCTGTCTCCTTTTCACTGATTAAGGCTTCTACCTGACCTGAAAAGACAAGGTTAAGTCAGCAAGGACCAGTTTGGTGGTAAAGTTCTGCTTTGTGTAACACAACGAGTCCCAAGTTCAAGTTTTTAGGAGTGTAAAGGGACACTTCTGTCTCCACTGATCAAAGTGGACAGGGATCAGGGGGACCTTTGGCCATAGTTGTGGCCCAGAATTACATGGCAGGAATTTATTAAGTATTTTCTGTATAAATCAGGGGAAAGAGAAGGAGCCAGATACAAGTCCTAAGAATTGAGGAGAGATACCAATGCTTCACAGTAGTGGAGATGCCTGAAAGCCACACTCTCCAGCATGCAGCCACGGAGAGTTGTAGGAAACAATTCTGAAACTAGTAGGGCTGAGAAACTGATCTTTTAAAAACTGTTTTTAAGCCAGGCCTGGTGGTGCACGCCTTTAATCCCAGCACACCAGAGACAGAGACAAACAGATCTCTGAGTTCAAGGTCAACCTTATCTACAGAGTGAGTAGTCAGGAAAGCCAAGGCTACACTGTCTTGAAAAAAATATAAATTAATTAATTGATTAATTTAAAAAGTATTGCTTTAAATTTAAATGTGGCTCATGACCACTCAGGTAGATCATATAGGTCTAACTGACCTGTTTGCAGACACTAATGTGATCACCTTAGCAACAGCCCCAATAGGGTTAGGGTGTCAGCCAGCCAGGACTCCTCTCTCTGGGAATGGAGAAATCAAAGGGAGCGCCCCTTTCCTCAGAGCTGGCTCTCACTACCAGCTAGCATTCCTAGAATATCTGGACTCACCAAATTCCTCGTGTTCTGTGGTTAACAGGAAAACAAAACAAAACAAAAAACTCTGCCTCTCTCTGGTTAGGAAGCCAGAGTGGAAGCAGAGATAAAGGCAGTAACCACGTGGGCATCAACACTGGGACCTGTGGGACCTGAAGGGACTGAGAACACATGGTTAGGAGACCCAGGAGATGGCAAGAGCTCCACAGAGACATAGTATTGCTGGGAGGCTGCAGAGAGGTGTAGGTACCTTTAGTAGAGGTGCATGAGTGTGAGCATACGCACACATGAGCATGAGGGGAAGTTGGTTAGCAGACAGTGGTGTGCTCTGCATTGGATGTGGCCTGGCTGAGATGTTGGAGGCTCTGGGAGTGTCGGAAGTGTTTAATAAGTCATCAGTCAGAGAAAGGTGAAGAGTTCAACTGAGTGGATGCTGCCACCACTGTAGAGCACGCACTATTGATAAGGGGAAAGAGTGTCAGCCTAGCCTACCGTGGGGGTGTGCTTGAAGAAGGTGAATCATGAGACTCATGCTGCCTCTGGGGATGGTAAACCCAATCTGAAAACGGCAACATTTAGCGCCTCTATTACATGAATGTGAGAAGTGAGGCGACCACTGCCAAAGGGAGGACAAACTTAGCAAGTGCTGGATAAGGAAGACCAAAGTGGGCTGCAGAGAGGGGAAAGAGCAGCCAGAGAAACGAGAGGAGGTGACTACTTCGGGATATAAGGTTAGCTACCTTGGCATATGATTTTGTTCAAAGCCAGTTACGTGGAAAGGCAATGAAGGATTTATGTAACAAATATCATCATATTTCTTTTCTCTCCTCTTCTTTCTTTCTTCTTTTCTTTCTTCCTTTTTTCTCCCTTCCTTTCTTCTTTCTTTCTTCCTTCCTACCTTCCTTCCTTCCCTTCTTTTTTTTTTAAATCAGTTTTTGAGGCAGGCTCTTACAATACAGCCCAAATGGTCTTAAACTCACTGTTCTCCTTTCTTCTCTCCAGGGATTACTGGTGTGGGCCACCACACCCAGCACTGAGTTCCATTTTCAGTAGATCACAGGCAGCTGCATCTGGAACAACAGAAGAAAAAAAAAAACACAACCCCCAGGTTTCACTGCAGACACTAGAAGAAAGAAGGC